TCTTTTAATGGTTTTTGCGGCCTTCCCCTCCTCTTCTGAGCAGGAATTTTTTCTTCCTCACCACTTCCGGGATCATCGTGATTGTTAATAGTCAACTTCTTTCCCTTTCCTCTGCCTCTACCCATAATCTCAGAGCCCCAACCACTTAAAAACTTAAAGAAAAAGTGTTGCTTTCAGCTGAAAAAGAAACACCACCAGAAAAAAAAATAAATAAAATAAAAGGTTGCTTAAATTTCAGTAATTTTTAGCAAAAGTAACTGTAACACTTTAAACTGCAGAAAATAGAGCTCAGGAATCAACAGAATAGCTAGGCTCTCTAACAAAACCAAACCAAAGTCAATACAATTTAGTCTAAAACATGCTAAATAGAAAGGAAGATTTGCACTAAAGTGCTAAAAGAAACATGTAACAGAGACTAACCCCTACTAAAAGAAAGAGTTTTCCATGGAGAATTCAGAAACTTCAGGGAGATGAGCACACATTATCTGCAATGGAACCAAAATCTCCAGCAAGCATCAGTGATCGTTGTAGATTCCCAAATATATACATGGCTATTGGTTTCCTTTCTCTTTTTCTCTATTTAAGAGAATCGCATTCATTGAGTACGAGGGCTGATTCTAAATCATAAATATAAATGATTGAACTTACAAATTTACCATCGCCAAAATCCAATGAAAAAAATGAACTTATAATCAACATAGCTTCAAAAATAAAAAGTATTGAAATCTACAGGAGCTTACTCTGAAAGTCTCAGTAGTTTAGAGAACACCAGTACAAACATGGAGAAACTAAATCACAGAAGAAAAGTATCATCTTGGGATCAGATTAGGGGAATAGGCAAAAACCAAAAATGGCACATGACCCTATGATGAAAAATCGAAGAACTAGAGACCCAAAAAAGGTAAACTTTGAAAACAAATTCACAATCTTTGTAAGCTCATCCATTTAGAACACATTAAAAATCGATTTGATTTAGTGAGAGATGGTGAACTTAATAACTACCAGAGAACCAGAACAAGCTTCACCTTTCAAAACCCCACACATAAGATAAAAATCAAAACAAGGAAAACAAAGCACATATTTTGATCATCCAATAAGAAGGGTATAGAGATATAGAGGAGAGAGAAATGGTAAGGAACCAACCTGAAATGAAGCCAAGTCAATTTGCATCCCTAGCAAGAAACCCATTACTTTGAATCTGTTAAAGCAAGCAGAGATATTTTGAGAGAAAAACCCACATGGGTTTTTCCTAGTCAGTGGATTTGAAGAGTACAAAGTTGGAAAGAATGAAGCTTTTCACATAAAAACTGATCTAGGCAAGACAAATAGATACCCAGATCAAGAAACGAAGAGATTGGAGGAGATTAAGGATTGGCATATGAGAGGTTCAAGATGTCCAACAAGTCAGAAACATGGCAAAAAAAAAAAAAGCAACACGGAGAGAAAGGGGGAGCAGAGAAGCGTAAAGAGATATTTGTTGGTTGGCTCTCCAGTATGAAATGCAGATGTAAGTTGTCTGTAATCTATTCTATGCTGTTGGTATGAGGGACTTCAATTCCAAGGACATTTTTGTAACTTGCAGTATCTCCGAGTTAGATTGAAAAAAATTTTTATGTACATTCTCATCGCTCATTTATCATTTTTTTTTTATAACTGTCAGAAGAATCAAACTCTGAGGTGTCATACTCTAAATTCGTTAGTAGATATTAATTTTTAATTTTTAATTGTATGAATTAAAAAATTTTAATTGTAAATAGTAATAATTATTAATTGTAAATTACATTTAAGCAACTAATTACTCTCTAAATTATCCTGCACTATATTGCTGTGAGTTGAATTATTATTAAACCATTGAGAATTAATGTTATATTTTTTAATTTAATTGATTATTATATATTGTATTATATTTTTTTA